CATTTTAAGAATAAGACAACAATCCGGAACGGACTTTCTTTGTCCAACTAATGCTAGAAGTCTATTCCTTGCTTCTCAGTGGTGCTTGCATGTTTTTAACGTCAACGGGGACCTTACAACAGACACCCTGGTTTCAGGCGAGCTCGAGGCAGGACTGTGGGATCGGTAAAGACATTCAGAATCTCAAGTGCGAGATAATCACGAAACTGAATTCGTCGGTGGTAGCTGTTGGGCTCGACGACCTGGACAGGGGCGTGAAGAAAACCCACAGCTTCGCCGGCAGCGATATCTCGAAAACGAGCCTGACGAGCAGCGAGAACACCGATGTGTCGATTATCACTACCACGACGGAGGGCAGCCCCTCGTTGCTCAGCACCGAGGGTTTCTGCGAGGGTGAAAGCACCGACATCTCGCCGGGATCGACGCTCAACAAATCCAACAGATGCACGCCTACGATGATCACGGACAGCGAGAACGAGATCACGATGATCTACGACGAGGACAACGACGACGACGACGACGACGACGACAACGACGACAACAACAAGGACGAGGAGACGCTGATCATGGAGAACGGTTCTAAATCATCGAAGAAGAAGTTGGGAATCGGCAGATCGAGGGCGCAAAGGGAGAAGACTGCAAAGGCAACGGACGTGACCGAGCCGACGAATATCGCGAGAACGGAGAGTAAAGACGACGGGATGGACTGTAATTTTGTGTCAGAGGACGAGGAAAGGGAGCAGGAGCCGATTTACGTGAACGCTTGCAACGAGGCGAATTCAAGAAATTTGGAAGGGCACGCAGGAGGGACTGTGATTGCCGAAGTGCCGAAAATAAACGAGGATTATAGTAATAACAATAACAGCAATGCAGGAGGCAATAATAACAATAGCGTGTAAGTACTGATTTCTTTAAACAGGAGTGATTATTTGTAACATAAATTTGTTTGCGCGAATTGCCCTGACCGGGTGAGTTCTTCACGCGCTAACAACTGAATACATTCAGAGTTTAGTCAATAATTAAAAATTTCGTGTTCCAATATGTATAATTCAGATAATTCTGTTGTTATAGCAATACACATTCGTCTAAACAGACGCTTCACTTACATTTATTTACATATATTTAAATTGAAAATTGCAATATTTGATTCATGCAGATGCTTAAAAATGGAAATTGAAGATCACAACGTGGAGGAAACCAGCGGGAACTGGTACAGCGACCCGGACGAGGATAAAGTCAACGACGACGTCTTTAGGCACAGCACGTATCGACCAAACAGCAATCATAATTCCGTTTTGGAGTGCGTTAATCAGATACTTTTACGAGACATGGAGGAAGAGGAGAGCATTCTTTCCATACCTAGACGATTTAAGCATCGAGGAAGAATCGTTCGATTTCAGCCAGCCAAATTGTCCGACATCGAGTCCGTGGGATCCGAAATGGAGAGAAAGAATTCGGACGAAGGAATCATAGAGAAAGAATCAGGTAGTAGCAACGAATTCACCGCCGACGTTTCTGTCAACGGTTTCGAACCCACTGCTACGGAGGATGAGTTTGGCATGAGTCTCAGCGAAAGCGTTCCAACGTCAAACCACGTTGCAACCACGATCGCGAACCACGAGTCGTCGAGTCTTGGGGAAGAATCGGAGGAATCGAAGGCCATTCCGATCGTCATTATAGAGCCAAAGGTCGAGATAGAAACAACGAAGCACGCGACTTTCCCCTCCTCGCAGGCGATGCAAAAACCAAAGACGTCTGTAAGCGCGTCGAATCCACCTTTGAAATTGGAACGAATCGAGGAGAAAACCTGTTTGCAGATGTCTACGAAAGGCCTGACCATAGCGAAGAATTTAGACTACGAGGACATCGAGTCGCTTCCGGAGTTCATATCTCCACCCCCTAAAACACCCCCTATGTTACCTCCGAAGCCACAGTTCAAAAACAACACGTTAATCTTGAAGAAAATACCCAGCCCCTCGTTTCTGATCGACGAAACGCGAAAGAAGCAGCAACTCTTCGAATCTAACTCGTCTGAGCACAGCAAGAAAATATTCGGCTTTATATCCTCCCCGTTGAAATCCGCGGGGATTAACGTTGTCTCGTCTGCGAGAAGCTTGAACTTCGACGACGCGATCAACAAAGTAACAGGGAACAGCGAAGAGGGGAACTTTTGGAAGAACAGATTCAATAACGTTCGGTCCTCCTTTCAGGCACGACAGAACCACGAAACCAGCGGGGAACCACAAACGCGAAAAATTCCCCGAGTCACCAACATCGTTCGCCATTTTGAGGAATTCAAAATTGGCGGCGAATCGGAGGATCAAACGAAGGAACGCACAAAAACGAAAGAGAAACACGTTCATTCGGAATTCGATCAGGAGTTCGACATCAGACAAAATTTCGAGGAGTTCAATTTAGACGAGTGTGATTTGTCGGATGATCCGGACAGACCGGAGGGTGATGGATCGGAGAGGCTCGGCAATCTTGGGGCGACGGTTGGTCAGAACGAGAAAACTGCCGCAACCAAAGACAATAATAATGTTCCTCTTGCTGCGAGCAATTCGAGCAGCGGCTATGATCACTTTTTAGAAGCGACAGGTCTTAGCAATAAATCCATACTAACCCCCTCAAGGTTGCTGAGCAACCATAAGAGCATGTTAAAGCCGAAAGACGTCAAGTATAAGAATAAGATCAAAGCAACAGCGGTTATGGAGAAACACGGTGTCTCCACGACCAGCAATACTACTCATATTAGACATTGGACGGGTCCGTTTGTTTGACGACTGGCTCAAGTCTTTCCAAAAGGTCTGTTTCGACAAGAAACATCTGCCGAAGGAACGTGAATTGACAAGCAAGGGAGAGAATTAGTAACTAGATACGAATTAGTGAAAATTCAAACCGTGCTACGAACATGATAATTTGAGTGTAAAGTATAAAGTAAATCCTGTAAATTGTTATTAATGTTTTCTTTTTAATACGATGCTTTTGTCAGATTTTTATTACTAAAGAAATTAAAGAAACGTAAAAGTTAATTTATTTATAGCAGCTTCAATTTAAAGGATGCTTGAACGTGTTGTATATTTTGATAAAATGTTTCTTATCTATTTATAGCGTTACTAATAAAATCGATAAATTGAATAATTGACATACGTCATTGACAGTGATTTCTAACGTAATTGTACATACGTTAATATAGACTTCTGGCTACGGAGTGCCACGAGTAAATTTGCAGTTTATTGCAAAAATTAATTTTTTTCATTGCGAGAATCTTTATGTTCTGTTATTTCCTATCGAAAGTCGTTCAAGAAAAACTGAAAATGTTAAATTATTGTAAGTTTACATTAATCCGTAATTACGTTCACGCGATAAAATTTTTATAAAATTTTAAATACTAAATTTAAAGAGTATCTCAATTAATTATTACTTAAACTTTGTAGAATTTACTGCATGTAATTACGGGTTATCTATTCGTCGACTAAATGCTATAAAAGCAAAATATGTATTTCATAAAAGTATTAAAGGCATTGTATGATATTGAATACTGACAAAAATCAGTTGGAGGATAAAAATAAATATGTACTTGTTTCATTTTTTTTTTTTTTTTGTTGGAAATAAAATTAAAGATGACTTTATTGAAAGATTCCTTGCGTTTGATTAAGAAATAGGAATACACCAGTATAATATTAAGTATTTTGTGGCGATTTATAAACAACTAGAGAACATATCATACAATTATATATAATATATATCTATATAACTTCTACTATCTATAAAAATACAACGCAACTCTATAAAAATACAATGCTAACCGTCACTGGTATCAAAATCTAAATAGGACACGGAAGAAAAAAGTACTTCAGAAAATGGACAATATTTAAATTTGAACATTTCATCAATAAATGTTTTGAAAAGATTCCATTTTCGTGGGTTAGTATGAATCACTCGTTCAGGCACTCTATTACACTTGGCTAGTGCTATATTATCAATACAAATGTATAGACATAGCTGAAAAATTGTGTGAAGAATCACACAATTAGTTTGGCACAGTGGTTTCTTCAAGTTTCTCTCTCCGCACGAAAATCGTAAAAGAACTATAAGAAGAATAAATAATAAAAAATAAAAACATTAAACGCACTAGTACATTATATATTTCGGATAAATATTAATCTTACCTCCTTATCCAAGTCTTTCTGAGTCCAAACTTTAATCACAGGAAGCTTATTCTACAAACAATACGGAATAATTATTGAAAGTACATGAAATAGATACATAGAAAATTCAGATTTTTGCAAAAGTTCACTTACAATAGAAGAATCAGAATGAACACTGAGACGTGGATTAAGAACAAATGGAACTCCATCCAAATCAGAAGACCCTGGCAATGTACCATAAATTGATGTAAATCCAACAACTGTTGACGTAGGCGGTTGCGGAGCAGGTCTTGTGGGTCTAATTCTTGCACTAGGGCTCAGAATTTCATAATCTCTATCATTAAATTCCTCTGTATCCTTTCCTCCACTTCCACTAATTTGTGGATAAACCCCATTTGTTGGTTTTGGCGAAAACTTTGGTTTCGGTGGTCTCTCAGGAGGTACTCTATGGGGCGTTCCATTCGATGGATTTGGAGAGGCGCTTTGAAGTAAACTACAAACGAAATGTTACGTATAACTGTTGATGCAAATATATCTTAGTTGCTTTTAAAATAAGAATGATTCTTACTCTATATTAACGTATGATTGTGAATTTGAATTCCCATTTACAATATCCACAGTTTTGTAGCAAACACAAACGCCATTAATAATACTGAAAAGAATGGGAAGATAAAAAATAATTGATTTTTATGAAGTTTTCATAAAATAATTTATAATTTTATAAACATACCCAGCAGCAATAAATCCATTTGGTGCTGTTTTAGATGAATAGACCTTATGTATAACTCTACTACATATGATAATATCAGTAACTGCTTTCGAGCATAGTTCCTTATTTCTAATTTTATAGCACACCTGTTTCTTTCTCCATGCCTTCTGCACTAAAATTCATTATAGCAATGTACTAAACGAAAATACTTTTTTGGCGAATAATACACTGATCAGTCTTACGTATGCTCACTTGAATCTACAGTATAAGAAATTATGCTATATCCTTCTGGAGGAGTATCTCGTTCATTAATGACTACTATATCTTCTACCACACACTGAGGTAACCCTTCAGTCTTTGAAAAACAAATGTATCTGCCTTTCTTTTTAATAAAAAGACCACTTTCTCTCCACAGATCTGCATCAGTATCTTGATCATATGTTCTTGACACCTGGTAATAAAATGATACTTAAAAACAATGTGTATTTATACAATTAAAGAAAAACAATATATAAATAATATATAAATATATAAATAATTATTAATTAAGTGATTTGTAAAAATTACTAGTCACAAGACTACTTACCACTGTAAAATTTGGCGGACACTTATCTATATCTTCAACAATACTTATGGCTGTAATTGGCCTATCATCAGGTAATACAGATGATAATTGATGGACTAACATTTTGTTGCAATTAGTCTTCTTAGACATTATTGCAACCCTGTTAAAAATAACTCATGTATTTCTGCCTCTGCTTCCTTGTAACACGTATTAACTCATGTATATATAAAACATTAAATTTAGATTGTTTTAAGCCAAATGATCATAATATACTTTTTCAGAGATAACACGCTGATTACAAAAGACCAATTAGATAGATTATAATATAACTCCAAAAAATTATTTAATTAATAAGAAATTATTTTAAATATCACAACTGGCGCAAAATATCAAGTAGGTAATACGTTTTTGACAATTAACATCGTGAAATTTCATTGACGTGAATCATATTCGTCTTTCAGAGGTCATTATACTTCGATTCATTAGGAGCGCGAGGAATGTAACTGCGGACTTCCCCTACTTTATCTCGATGACCTATTTTCGATCGATAAAAAAATTTACGCATACGTGAAACAGCTCGCAATGAGCAAATTTTGACTGATAAAGATTTTTGGTTACACAACGTTTCGTGACACGATGAGGGTAAATCACTGCAAATAATACACTAATATGCATATTTCGCTCAATGCTTATATGCAATTAATTTTTCAAATATTCGCGATTAATCATTCACGATAATCCCGTTTGCTTACCTTCATAAATTTCGCACGACACGGATTTACAAATTTTGCATGTTTCTTGAATTTATCTGTCGTCGTATTTCCAATTAGCCGGACCAATTATTAATCCCAATGGAATAACACAACAATTTTTGATCGAATAACGATCGGCTTGTATTTCCTTTGACACGCAATCGTATTCTTCGAGAGATTCATTCGTAATAAAGAGAAGGTACTTCAATGCAGATGAATAAACAAAGAGGAAGGGAAAATCTAACAACCACAGAGAGAAGCAGGACGGAGAAACTAACAAAGAGGAAAATACCTATTGAGAGGAAGATAAACGTATATATGTATATATACGGACTATTGTTCCATCATTGGTAAGTGGTTCAACACGCACGTCCAAACGATATTGAATAAAAACCCGATGGAAATAACTATATGGAAGTTCGCAGACTCTCTGTTAATTATAAAGATTGCTTTCCCCTTTATCTCTTCGTTGAACGTTTTAACTAAATTGGTATCAATGACATCACTTCTACCATCACTGTAACTATAATGACTACCATCTTAACTGACTAAGGTAGTTGTGTTCAATAAGCTAACCTCTGTTTCCGTTCCTTTCGCGCCGTAAAGCTGCACGGCGTTTCTCTTCGTTCTTTTTGCACTTGATTCCCTTTTGTTGGATATTCACTTGACAGCGTACGTATCACTTGATTTTTCGAAGTGAACTAATCCGTTTCCCAAGCGATAAGAAAATGGATAAGAATCATACGCCACCCTTTTATCAGCATGCTTATTGTCTGATTTGTTTGTGGAAATTTTTCCAATACGATTTAAATATACAACATTCGTACATTTTGTCTAACCGTGGCCATGACACTCAGCTTTAGCACTGAAACTAAAGAAACACCATGGCGTCTTGTTTACCCTTTTATCGTTTTTATTCAAAATTTACTGTAATTTAATACTAATTCTAATGCGACGATTATACACATTTCATTGCTTAAGGAGACTAATTCGTAAATGGAATTAATATTATCGATGTTTTAAACTGTTTCAATAAAATAATAACTCTTGAATCCACGAAGATTATAGATGGTGCTGTAACCATTGTGAACGTTTATTTGAATTTCATGAAATGGCGTTGGGTTTAGGCTGCAAAGAAGAGTTCACAACGTGCAGTAATGGTATATCTACAGATTTCACGTGAAGATATAATTCTTCTATAAATACTTCAGCTATTGAGAAGGTATTTGTTCATAATATTAATCTTTTAATTAATAATCACTTATTAATCGTAAAATATACACATATTAGTACATAACGGTAATAGAAATATCAAAGTGAATATTGATATATATTAATGTTATCTAAGCAAATAAATTTTGTAATAAAAAAAAAGGAACTTAATATTAGCAAAAATTTTTACATAATCTAGCAACACAGAAAAAAGTAGAACATTTTACTGGAATACACAAAGAAATGAAATTTTATTATTAATTCGAAGGTACAATACAAATTTTACATTTTATCTCAGAACAGATTAGGATTACAATTTCAAAAATATTTTTCTGTAGTATGAATTACAAAATAATATTTCAAGTATAACACTGATAAAAATCATATGAATATTGCTGAAAAAAAATATGGTTATAATAGGTTATGATTATAAATTATGTTATTTAGATATAAAGTAAAATGTTATTGTTAATATCTTACAAAGTATTGCCAAAAAATAATATGGATATGGATATGTTACAAAATAATATAAAATGTGAAAAGGATATTGCACAAATTAATACAGATTTTGCCAAAGTTTTTATGGAAATTGCAAAAATTTAATATGGATATTTTATGGATTATTTCAATGTATAATATTAGTATCTTACAATGTATTGCTAGAACGTAATACAGATATGTTATAATATATTGCCAAAATAAAATATGAATATCATAAATAATAGTATTTTACATAAGACATAGCATTGCCCAAAGTTACTATGGATATTTTATGGAGTATTGCCAAAATATAATATCAGTATCTTATGATG